CTGTTGGAATAAACACCATAGCAATGAGCCAGGCAATATACTGAATTTTACACACCAGTAGTCATAACATTCCTTTTATACTTTCATTGTTTACTTTTCTCCTTACATAAAGGCTCATTTTTTCTTAGAGATGCTGTAAAATTCAAGATGCCTGAATTTCTAATAGACTTATTTCAAAGTTAATTAGTTTAATTTCAGAATCTGGTCTTCTCCATCTCTATCTGCTAGGTGCAGATCTGCAGGGAGAAACAACTAACTATACATGTTCCAGATTTTTTATTGGTGTTATAACTTTAGACTAGATCGGATCCCTAGGACTGAATGCCTGTTTGTCACTGGACTGCGTTATCTGCAACCCTGGAACTCATCTGGTGTAGCTTCGCCTAAAAGGAACGCAGTTCCTGTGTTTTCAAACCACCTCACAATGCCATCCAAAAAACAGTATATGTGGAAGATAAGATTTACTTTGAAGGTACCCTATGATGACTAATGTAAATATACCCTGGAAAGCCTCTCTAGAGAGCCCCATTTTGCTAACAGTATTGATGTTCAAGGATCAAAGTACCAACAAATTTCCTCTTAAATTCAACAGAATCTTTCATTCTTTTTTCCTGTCTACAGCCAGTACAAAAGGTACCGGCGCCAAGAGCATCCCCACATCACTCTGGACAAGGGAGAGGATGCATACTGTGCCTCTGCAGCAGCTCTCAAGTGAGGACTCCCACTAAGCATTAGTCTCCACTAACTCCTTAATCTCCTCGTAACAAGATTGCTTCCTACTGAGCATATCAATTCTGTGGCATGACTTAGAATCCTAGAATGGTTTGGCTTGGAAGGGACCTTAAAGCTCATCCAGTTCCAACCCCTGCCACGGGCAGGGACACCCTCCACTAGACCAGGTTGCTCCAAGCCCCTGTGTCCAACCTGGCCTTGAACACTGCCAGGGATGGGGCAGCCACAGCTTCTCTGGGTAACCTCTTCCAATGTCTCACCACCCTCATATTACAGAATTTCTTCCTAAAGACCAGTCATAGAATAGTTAGGGTTGGAAAGGACCTTAAGATCATCTAGTTCCAACCCCCCCTGCTATGAGCAGGGACACCACACACTAAACTATGTCACCCAAGGCTCTGTCCAGCCTGGCCGTGAACACCTCCAGGGACTAATCTAAATCTAACCTCTTTCAGTTTAAAACCATTTCCCTTGTCCTGTCATTACATGTCCTTACAAGAAGTCCCTCTCCAGATTTCTTGTAGGCCCCCTTAAGGGATTGGAAGACTGTTATAAGGTCTTCCCTGAGCCTTCTCTTCTCCAGGCTATACAAGCCCAACTCTCCCAGCCTGTCTTCATAGGAGAGCCCCGAGAGCATCTTTGTGGCCCTCCAAGACTTGAGTTCTTGCTGGTATTTACACCCTCCCTAAAGTGCTCATCCCCAAAAAGGGCACTTTAGTCCAATGTTCTCTCTCAGATCCCAAATACAAATCTCAAATTTGTATTGTCAAAGGGTCACTTCTTCTGTAGTCAAAATTCCTCATGCGAAAATTACCTACAGTGATCTGCAAGTCTTCTAAGAATCACTGCTTTCTAAGACAGCCTTTCTCTTGCTGACACAGCCTGCTTTTTTTTTTCCCCAGACAGCTTTACATTAAGTGATATTAAGACACATTTCTAAATTAGGACTTTGAACTGGATGATTTATAGCCCTTTAAAATGAAACTATCTTCTTTTATTTACCACAGAGTGGATCATCTTACCTAAGAAATTTATTAGAAACATTATATGTAGTAATCAAGATCTATGATAAAAAATGTTCAACATCAGACAAAAACTGTTCACTGGAAAATTCTCCAAGTAAGCACCTGACTACTGCATATTTAACATGTAGCTATATTTTTAGTTCCTTCTGTAAAGCAGTTTTTGACCTATTCAATATGTGGCAGGATAGTTATTTCCTGTACAATGTATTGAATCAAGCTCCTTAAAAGAAATCAAAGAACATCTGTACCAAGAAGACCTGTGATATTACTTTTAAAAAGCATGCAATAAATTCATAGTACTTAGCAGTATTTTCAGCATGTCAAAAGATAGTCCCCTTAACCCTTTTAGAAATGTGGAACTGTTCACAACCCTCCCAGTCACCCTAGATTTTTAAACCATTATGGAAGTGAACTGTTTGGCAATCTCTGCTCACTTACAGCCTGACACAATCCAAGACACAGCGATCCTGATACCAAAGAGACTTTCAGACTCATAGAATGGTTTGGGTTGGAAGGGACCTTCAACATCACCTAGTTCTAACATCAGCAGAATTGGCTGGCTATAAACACATGCTCAGCAGAAGGTAACATCTTTCTATAAACTATCTTTTTCAGCTTCTTAAACAGGTCAAATAGTGCTAGAGCCACCACTTCTGTCTTGGCCAAATCCAGATTTCTTTGTTATCTATGCCTAGCAAAGGAGGGCAAATATGTAGCTTGCATTGGGTTTTTTTTCCGAGTTACATCCACAGCCTGTACCAGCAGCATCAATGCATCCTGCTTTAGAGTATCAAGACAGATTAGGCAGTAATGCAACAGCAAAGTATGATATTCAAAGGGAACCACTCCTCAAGATAAACTACAGCCTCCTTTATGTTGCCTGAATATTTTAAATTCATGTTTTTTCTTCCTGTATGTACCTCTGAGACCAAACATTTCAGAAATGTTTAACATTATTGAACAATATTAGCATTATTTAAAAGTACTTTCTTTTAACAAAAAGTACATATAACAAGTACACTTTCGTTAAATGTACTTTTTGTTAGAAATAAAATTCTTATTATATTATTTGATTTCCAAGTCTAGAAGTTATTGCCATGGCTTTAGTGTGTATTTGTACAACTAGGAGTTAACTGCAAATAGCTACAAGATCCTTCTTCTACAGAATGTATCTAAAAAGAGGACCCTAATTTTTATTCAAAGCAATTATTCTTTCCCAGAGAATAGTGTTCTCTTTCCCAGAATACTTTTAAATGGGAAATTTTTTCAGAGATGCTCCTTCCTCAACATCCACAAGATGTCACCATTGTAAAGGAAAGAAACCCCACTAGTTGGAAAATATGAAATACCTTTATGTTCTGAAACATTGATTTTATTTACTGTACATCTCAATGCAGTCCAACGATTTTATTTTTTTTTTGTTTAATATAGGGAATAAATATACTCAGAAAAACCCAAACCTAAAATTCTCTTCAAAACCACAGAAATCAAGACCCTACTTTAGCCATTTGAATTCCCAAACACAAGAAAAACTTGGCAGACACCAAGAATAGTAAGATAAATAAAACCATTTATGGTTCCAGCATTGCAAATAACCTACTTTGAAGGCACTGTCAGTTTAGAGACTATAGAAAATGTAGATGCAAATAGATAAATAAACGACTAGAACAGAGACGCAATCTCCCAGAGAGCTTAAAGGAAGTTTACTATTGTTTTGTATTTAATAAGGAAACACATTTACGTACCCAACCAGCTCATCTATCACAAAGTTAAAAAAATTAATCTAAATCTATGTAGGTTCAGTGAAAATCCAAGGAATAACAAAGTACATAATCCTACTCACCGTAGGAAAGAACAGGAAGCTATTATGCACAGAAATGCTAGATAAAAGGAAGGCACTAACAGTGAAAGTTAGCCTTGAAATTTAATTTCATGCTCAAAACTTCTAATGAAGATTATAGCATGTCAAATGAAGGTTCAGCCTTCCAAAGATTTGTGATTTTCTGCATTTTATACACGGCAATCTGAAACTGCAAGGAACCAATGCACAAATAAAACTGTGATGTTCTTGCTGCAAGTTCTATTCGCAGCTTCCTTACAGTGATTAAGCTTTCAGGATCTCTTTTTGTGCACTACAACCATGGAAGGGTCTAAAGGACTCAGTAACAAGTCCGCACTGTTTCCATTCAATGACCATATTGCTAACCCACTTCCTTTCTGCAGGTGCACTGACTGCCATCTAATGAATCATTTCATTAATGAAGAAGAGGAATGTATTAGATCTCATGGTGTTTTGGTCTAATAGGTGTGACAACTAGTAAGAGTAAAAAAAGTCATTGCCTTTGACATGCAAAAAGAAACAGCAATTAAACAAAAGTAGAGGAAGGAAGTAATGGGATGAGGGGATATCAGCTAAGTGATCTGGAGGTATTTATATATTTCTTTTAATAGAATAATGGCAATTTCAATGCATGGGAAGCTAATCCAATTGAGCCTTCCAACAGGATTGGTAAAGGATAAAAAGAAAAAAATTCACAAACACATAGTATAGTAAGGTAAATTACACATTTTTAATAATTGATGTTTAATAAGAAACAATTCTTAATAAGAAAGATTCTTAATAAGAAACAATTATTTATGGTACTGGGAGTCAAACTACAGCACATGCTTATAGTACTCCCATTACTTCACAGTATGTGTCCACACAGACTTTCTTGCACCGTCTCGATAAAACAGCTTACCTTCCTTTTTCATTGAGAGGCTTTACAATAACTCACAATGAAAAAAAGACAGTGAATACTTACTTCAGGAAGCACTAAAAATATGATGTGATGATGCGACATTAAGAAAAAGGGGGAAGAAAATCGAATCTATCTAGGCAATAAAGAAATTAATAGAATAGGGAATTAGGCCACGGAGGAACTTGGCCTTTAGAAGTACCCACAACTCTTGAGTAATTACTGCCATTATTTTTTCAAATGAATGAGCCAAAAAGACGAATGCCCACCACAAGAAAGTTTAGGTCAGGTATTTTTTGTCTGAAGATACTACAGAAATATCAAAGGTGTAAGCCTATTATGGCACTAAAGCATACACACCTTGGTCCATGTGAAAATTTCCTCCAGACGTGATTTTGTTCCTTTATGCTTATTCTTCAAAGATGCTAATATGCATTCTAGATAGGATGCATTAAAAGCAGTCTTCTTTTAGACATTAACTTGATTCCAAATAACAAAATCTTACCTTGCCAGCTATCATTGCAAACACACAGCTTCTCGCCTGTCAAATCACAGTAGCCATGATCTGGACTGCCGCAGTTGGCTTTACAATATGGAATATCACAGGCTTCTCCTTTCCAATACTTGTCACACTCACAGTATACCCGGCTTGGTACAGACACACTGGTTGTGCACTTTCCATGTTCTGAGCAGTTATTAGGACAAGAATTAATTCTGAAAGCAAACAAAACGTAAAATAAGGGACATTAAAAGCCAAGACTTCATTATGCTGGTTTTATCTGACAGTATTCCGACAGTATTCCAACTGCATTTGCTAGACAAAGTATTTTTTCCCTGAAAAATTGATGTGTACTGATAAAATACAAGTTTAATGGCGATTTTAAAGGCACATGAGCTGAAAAGGTGTTCATCCAGGCTTACACACGCACTCTGTGATGCAGTCAAGATCACAAACACCTTGTACTTTAAAAAGAAGTATTGACATTAAGCAGAAGGACTGATCACCATCTATTTTTTCCCATTTTTTCAGTATCAGCTTTCTAGGCAGTCACTTTAAATGCTTATTATCTCTAAGAACATCCACACTGGAAGTGACTGTGAGCAGTAACCCTTAAACTCTCCACCACAGGCATACAGTTAAAGGGTTTTCCTGAGTGACTTCGCACCATGCTGTAAAACAGTACATCCAGCATCTGAGAGGAATAAAATCTGAAAAACAATGTAAGGAGGACAAGATTGCTAATACCCTGAAACCACTCACAAGTAGCATTTTGTGCTTTGAATCTTTAATAACAGAGCTACCTTAACCTTGCCTCCTTAACTCTGCAGTCAGAGATGCAGAAAGAGGAAAGATTAGGCTGAAAGAAATTTGTGACTGGTATTGGAGTTCGCATTTCTGTGATACGCCCTACAAAACACTGAGATCACAGGCAACGGGACTGCAAAGCTATGGAAACTGGATCCAGAAATGCAGGCAGTTCCTTGGAGATGAAGAGGGATGAATGACATTGAAGTATGTGGGTCCAAGAGTTTCCATGAACAGAATCTCGGGCAGTATGTGCCTGGTGGAGTCCAAAAAAGATTTGAAACCTTTCTGATGACTCACAAAGGGCTGGGTTGAAACTCAGAATAAACTGTTAATACAAACCCCTGCTGGGAACGCAGACTCCTCCCTGTAGATGCAAGAGTCGGATACTGTTCATAGCATTCCTTGTTCTTACCGAAGAAAGAAACCGAAAAGTTAGTGAGGAATTGTTCAAGGCTGGACTTTGGCCAAATGTAGTTGTGGCAGGATAGTCAGGAGACTTGCTTTCATTTTCTGAAGACTCACATCTCAGAGGACAGATTCTGCTACATTGCCAAAAAAGAAAACTTCATATCTGAACTGCAAATGTCCTGGGGCTTTGCCTGTTAACATACATGGCATTGATGACATTAACTGCCATATACCACAGCTCTGAGGAACCTCTCCTCCTGACTTCACAGGGAATGTTCTGCAGGAAAGCGAACAGTTAAGTCTTTTCAGTAGCATATACACCAGTTTAAAAGGAGGCACATTCCCACTCCAACAGGTTTGTTAAGGATTCAAACAGAAAGAAAAACTGGATGAGCAGAGTTAAAAGCAGGACACCTGACTTCAAGTAATGCAAAATTTACTCAGGGAGTTCTGGAGCAACTGATGTTTGCAATTGGCATGGCATTTCGGACACAGATGCTGCACTTGTGTCTCCCCAAAATAAAGGGATCTGAGTAGCCTGCCAGGATAAAAGTTAAAAACTGCTTGGTGGTTACCAAACCAAGGAAGAAAGAGGGAAACAGAAGCACAGTGCAACAGATCAGTGACAGAAAAAAGTTAATGCAGTCATAAAACGCGAATGCAGGTACTTCTATCTTTATGTACCATAAAGTTTTATCATAAAGAGTTACTGCTGGCTCATCAAAAAAAAAAAAAAAAAAACAAACACATTTTAAAAGTATCCATTGCAATAGAAGAAACAAAGGAACCGAGTATATAAAATTTCCTGACTTACATGTGGAATGGAATTAAAAACTGGCAGGTTTTTTATTTAGTTTAAACCTTCAATAAAAATTAGGTAGTAATATGTAGCATGCACCACATTACCAAGTCATGAAAGAATGCAGAGCACATCTACTCATTTCTGAAGAATGCCATGTCATATTGCCATTTGCTCCCAAGACAAACACAAAGAAGTGCAATAAAAGCTTCAGGGATCACTGAAAAATGAATCTAATTACAGCAGAGAAGTCTGCCAGGTGACTGCATCTTACTGACGTCAACTGACAAAAATACCCAGTCTTCTAGATTGTGATTTCCAATACAACAAATGTAGTGAGGTTTCCCAAAGTCTGAAGAGCTATTTATTAACTGTTAAAAGGTAGGGAAACCACTGCAAATTACAGAAACTATCTTTCCATAGACAATTTAACACAGACTTCTGCCAAGAGCAAAGCTATGATGAAAAGCACAAATAGGAATAAACTAATAAAGAATAATGACAAAAATATTACATGTACTTTCACATTTGAAGTGCAGCACTGGCCACCACATCCCAAAAATAGAATCTGAAGGAATTGGGGGGGGAAAAAAAAAAATAAAACAAAAAAGGAACAAGAGTATCTTCAATCATATGAAAAATATCACATGAAGAAACAGGTCCAACAGGACCAAGTAATCTCCTCCTGAACTAAAGCGTCCGGTATAAAGAAACATCACATTACATGTCACAAACATGTCCCAGATGACACAGAAGTTGCAATCTACAGCTGGTGCATACACGAAGGAAAAGGCTCAGGTCCATTGGATGCATCTTTATAGAGATGCTGACAGAGAAAAGCAGGTAAGAGGAAAGCAAGCAAAGTTAGACTTTGCCATCAGAGTAACTAGAAGACAGGCAGTGCAGGTAAGAACCATGAAGGCAGAATGCAGACTGAGATGAACAATAGGAGGTGAAAGTACCCAAGAATTGGAGAACAAATGGAACAAAACCCTTGTGGCTGGCACAAAAATAAAAGTAGGACTTTGGTGAAGGTTTCAGAAGCCATAGAAGTACATTCAGCAATCAAAATCAAACAACAGTTTATTCTAGTTCAAGAGAAACAAATCAACATGACAGAAGATATAATTTCCTTTCTATTCCATATGAGAACTACATATGTTGGGTAAATACTGGAAGGGATACATTCTAGTTCCATATGGCATAGGGAAAACAGTCTTGGAATGGCCATGTGGCTTCACTCTGAACAATGTATTTTATCTCATTTTCTTTTGTTGTTTTTTTTTCCAAGTAGTACCTTAATTACAACTCCTTGCAACCTCAGCTCTGTATTTCTAAAGCCAGCAAGCATAGCTTTTACGCTATTAATATATGAATAAACACTTTCCCTGGGTTGATCATCCTCCTGAAAGAAATGACAGGCTAAATACCGAAGTAATGACTTATTAAAAAAATACTTACGAGTAAAAAATGTTAAATCCAGTTAAGTTATAAGCAGCATCACTGAAGAAGTGTAGCAATGCATAGCCAGACGTAGTAACTACTTCAGGAACAGTTTCGTTTCCACGCACTTCGGGAACTATTAGACCGCTGGAAAAGAAAATGAGAACAGTGTTTTTAATCAGTCTCGCGATGGCAGGGAGAAGAAGAGGGAGTCACTTATTCTATTGTTATTATATTGACAAACTTCTTTTTTAAAAAACAATAGTACAAAATGTGTGTAGAATGTAAAATGTGTCCATGCCTCTGTGAGGTAAGGTAGGGTTTTCCAGGAAAACAGAACAAAAACTCCTCTCTTACACAATAATGCAAAATTTCACATCTGAGGGTGCATGCTCTGTCCACGTAATTTTTTAAGTTATTTTAACTTCGAAAAAAAAAAAAAAAATGTATATATATATCTCTATCCTTCAGACAGATGCTTAACATCACTGTCTTTCAGCACGAGTTCTATTTCCACATAATAGAATCACAGAATAGTTAGGGTTGGAAAGGATCTTAAGATCATCTAGTTCCGACTCCCCTAATATTTGCACCTTTAGAAGTTTAACTTATTAAAGCATTTCAAACCTGGAAAGTATGACGATTAAGTAATTTCCATGGAAAAGCAGTTTTCAACAGGAAATACTTTCTGAAGTTTTAGAAAGATGTTAATACGCCAGTCTTAAATAAAGACTGAAGCAGGAAAAACAGGCAACATATTAAAACACTAAGAAAAAGGATCACCTGCCTAAAACAGTGCCACATCACTAATACAATTTAGAAGTTATAGGAGCTTTGCTCACTTTGGAGAATGCACTATCATTTATGCAATTAATATTTCTTAAACTTTGGCAGCATAATCAGTATTTTGTAACACAAAATGAAGGACAATTTCTGCCCCACAGAGCACATGTGCACAAAGAGTTTCTGGTCTATTTAACATAGCTTTGAACTCAATGGATATCCCAAGATAAAACTTTTACTGACTTCAAAGGACTAGGACCCTGTGCCTTCTCTCTAATAATCTATAGCCCACTTGCACAGCATATTCTTTCTGGAATGTTTTCCAAAATATTAACAGAAGGATAGGAATAAACCAACAAAAAAAATTTTGGTAAAGTCCAGGTATGGGGGAGACAAGTGTTAAAATTCATGTGCCCTGCTTTTTTCTCTCTTGGATACACAGGAAATGCAGCGAGTGCATGGACCTAATTCTCTCAATAGTTTATTATCATTTAAAGAGCAAATAATTAGTCTTTATTCAGTATTAGTTACTCTGCTCTTGTTTATTGTTTTTGATTTTCTGTCTATTTCTAAACCTTGCTACAAAATAACACTGTGGTCCTAGACAACAAATAACCTGAAAAAAGATGTATTTGTGTAGCAGTTCTCATAACCTAATGGTAACAAAAAGCAAATTAATTCCATCATTTCAGATGATGGCAAATTTGAGCTCTCCTCCAGGACTTTGACAATTTTACCCACTATGACTTAGTCACAATGATGTCCAGTTTGATAACCTAAGGAAACATGTCACAAAATTAGAGCTTAAGATAGCCTTTGTATCGAATGCCCTGAAACAAGTGCTTTCATTCTTCATTCGGTAATGAAGAAAGCATTTAGCAGTCATATGTTGTAACTTCCACACAGTGTAACATTGCCCAAGTTAAAATTGTGCTTAAACAGGATCTGCTACTGACACTATTTGTTAGTGCCACATTTAATGTACATTAAAACTCAAGGGTCACTATTGGAAGCCTACTGGAAAGCACACTTCTGGTTGCCTGTCCATAAGCATTAACACTCCGTGCAACGCCAGCATTAAGTACAAGCCACATAATGGATTTATGCTCTGAACACCTAACCAAAAAAAGTAGTGCTTTGCAATTTAGTATACCTTCACATAAATGCTTCCACAACATGAACAAAAGAAAGCAAGCTATTTAACAAATTAAAGCTTCTAATGATAGTTTTTTTCTCTGCAAACTAAAAATGTCCATACATGACTACTTGGAATAAAAGACTAATAAACACACTCACCTAAATACAGCTATTAAAGGTGCATATATTGAATCTCCATCATATACATACATATGGTCCCAACTACATTCTGTGGCAAAGTGATTAAATCTTAATCTTAGTATTGCATTTGGGCTGAAAAAGGAAGGAAAAAAAACCCACAACATTGGTGTAAAACATTATTTGCAGAAGTATTGAACTCACAGCATAAAGAACTTACATCAAAATCAATCATGCAGCATAACTCTGTTAGAACATTTTGAGTACTAAACATTTCGAAGAGAATAAATATTTCACTTCACCTTAGAAGCCTTAATAAAAATAATTAATTGAAATAATACCTTCACTCCCAAGTCTAATAAACCCTAAATTTAAGCGACTGAAGTTTATCAGATTTTATCAGTATTCAGAGCAATTACAATCTCCCATTTTAACAGACTGGCTTTACTTTAAAATGTCAGGACTATGACATTTAAGCAGCCACCTACACATCCTCATTCCAGTATTATATTAGTTATTGAAGATAAAAATCTTAACACACAAATTAAAAATAGCACGATATTTTTTTCTCCCTGGCCGCTTGTTCCCCCTGCCACCTGGGAATCATATTTCACCACATTTTGGTAGAGATCCTGAAAGAGGAATTTCCTCCTATGACAAAACTAACAGACTCAAATTCCAACATAACAATTGTTTTCTTTTATTTCAATTATTTTTACCCCCTACTGACAGGCTCAAGTACAGTTTGTAAAAGTGCTTTTTTGTGTGTATGAGAGACCATTTGGGGAGCGCTCTTGTTTCATTTTAAGAGAGATTGTCTTATACATATGGGGCTTCCTTGTGTGCTGACGTTTTGCACTATGTTACTGGCTTGCATTACTCTTCCACATACTGTGCAGCACATTGCTTCCTCCAGCTACCCACTCTACCTCCTGCAAAGTGGAGGAACAGAATGAAGACCAACTTGAAAGCAGAGCTTGCATACAGTCCTGAGGCATGTTTTCACTTCAGCATAGTGTGGCACAGTGCAAATGCTCCTGAGCTAGCCTGGGTAAAAAGAGAAGTCTGGCTATGTTGAAAGATATTCAGCTGTAGCCTGGTCACCTGGATATTGAAGTTTCTTCTTAAATGATTTTGAAAACTACCCATAATTTCGTTACTGTGGTGTTTAAATTACTACCTGCATATAAGTAGAACAAAATTAGATCAGATAGACCATTACTGAACCGCAGCAACAGAGCAGCCATCTAAGGTAGTTGAGATCATGAGAATAAGGAAATAGAGAAGGGGGCTATTTTCTTCTAGAACATTAGCAGAATTCCAACCTTGCTATATTCTCCAGTGAAATCCTCACCCCATGGCCTGGTGGGAAAGAAGTTCCACTAAAACTTTAACGAATTTTTGCCTTTAACAGCTGAGCCATACCAGTGCACATGTCTCATCATTTCTTTGTGTATGTCTGTGTGTTCATGCTGTATAAACTGAAAAATTGGCAACAGACATGAAACATCTAAACTGTATAAGCTAAGGGCACAATATGATTTTAAAATTAAGTACAGGAGGAAAACTAGAATGAAAGAAGAAATACTTTATATAAGCACTAACTTTTGAGCAACATGGAACTGAATAATTACCCTTAGCCTGGAAGTGTTCTGTACTTGAAGCCACTCCTGATTTATCACTGATATGAGTTAAATAAGATAAATAGATAAGATATGAATTAAATAATAGGATTCTGTAACTACATTTGGAACTTACGTAAAGGTACTCAAGCAGGCAACAAATTTATCACAGGGTTCTGAGAGCTTGCAGCACTGGCCAAATGCCAATGTCAGCCTAACTTTTGCCAGCAGCGTGAATGGAAATGGAATTTGGCCAGCTGAGCAATCCTGAAAATCCTACTTCATTTTTTTTTTCCTTTTAACTTTCTAGCATTCAAACAGAAACAAGCAAAAAAAAAAAAAAAAAAAGACCAAAAAGACCCAAAAAACCCCTGTTTATATTGTATCCAGATGAAGTTTCTACTTGAGGAGTTCTTGAGTTCTTTAGATCTCTAGAATACACAGTATCAAACTGTCAGAAAATGTAAGCTATGAAAATAAATACTTACTATCCTTCAATTAACCATGTACATTTGGTTTTATATTTATAATTTATTGGTCCATCTGTTAAATATCCAGAAGGTTCTGTTAACCTACAAGAGAAAAAACAGTGCTTTAATAAACCAGAGACAACACCACAGAAGACACATCATCAACATGCCATCAGTTTCTTTCTGGATGGAAAGAAAATTGAAATATTTGAAGGGGGTGGGGAGTGAAGAATCAAGCCTCTCTTCATTTTTCTTTTCACACTACTTTTGCTCATAAAAATGAGAATTCTGATTATTCTACATCACTGATTTACATTCTTCCCCTTGGCAATCACAAGACTTCTAAATTTTCTAGTTCAGTAGCAAGCAAATACTATGTATTTGCTATGTATATGCTAAATTCTCCGTCACACGAAATGGATCCAAGCCAACATAAGGGGGGTTTTCTTCAGGAGTATTTTGGTTTGGTTTGCTTGTTTCTTTTAGCATTGCCTTACATCTTACTTCTGAAATCAGACCACAGCAGCAGTGGTAAAACTGTTCTAGATCAACAGAAACTAAGGCATAAATTATTAAATAAGCCTACCTGCCAGCCTGACCCTCTTCCTGGTCAGTGATGAGACATGGGAAAGCAGAACCACACTGGACTATGTAGAAACTAAATAAAATGCATACGAACAGCTATGAAAGGTCAGACCAAAATGACAACAGTAGCGTGCAGTGGATATAGAATCACAGAATGGTTTGGGTTGGAAAGGACCTTAAAGATCATCCAGTTCCAACCCCTGCCACAGGCAGGAACATCTTCCACTAGACTAGGTTGCTCCAAGCCCCATCCAACCTGGCCTTGAACTCTGCCCAAGGATGGGGCAGCCACAGCTTCTTTGTCTCAACTGTTCTAATGTCTCAGCACCCTCACAGTAAACAATACCCAGTAAATACACAGTAAAGGATACACAGGAAGGAATTTTAATCCCTACAGATACTCCCCACAGCATTATACCACCTTCAACAATTTGCAGTCCAGAGACAGTCTTAGCCAGAGATTCTTTTGGTTTTGGATTCTTTCTATTGGTTTTGGGTTAACACTTCTCCTAGGAGTTTGCCCATGTAAACGCTAATAAACTAGTAGTATCTAGATCGTCCTGCAGGAATCATTTCTATACACATATGAAGACACATCTCAACTGGTTTTGTCCTCTCCACAGAGGTGTGGTATTAAGATGAGATGATGAACAACACTACCCAATTCACATGCTTTATGCTACTCAAAATGTAATGACCTGTGTTGTTTCCCCTCCCTTTTCTCCACTGTGCCCTGAGAAATCCTTGCTCTTTACCTTCACTATTTGTTATTCTCCTATATCCTGAGATGCAGAGATCAGCATATTGTATTCAAGATGCAAGTGAAACATGAATCTGTATAGTATTCAAATAATGATTTCCACTTTGCTCTCTATTCCCATCTTAACATTTTATTTGCACTTTCAACAACTACTATTCTGATACTTTACACACAACTAGCTGCTATAACACTCTTCCGAGTGATAATAGGTGGTTTAAGATTCTTTACAGAAATTCATTTAGCAGTAATAGAACCTTTTTCCTCCATTCATCTATATTACTTCACATTAATCTATACAGAGCAATAAAATCACAGATGAAATTCAATAATTTATTAACATAAAAGCTTGCTAAAAGAGTTTAGCATCTTCAGCACACTGTCACTTCACTAATTTACCCCATTTTGCGCATCCTTTATGATTATGTTCTATAGCTCAGGCCTTAAACACTCATCTCTGGTGGCCTTACTCCACGGGGAAAACTGACCATCCTGCTCTTTAAAATTTTACAACAATGACAATGAATAGAAATACACATTCAGAAATGCTCATTTCTTTCCCTGTAGCGTGGAAAGATAATCATTAAAATAAGTATCACTTATTGTTTTTTTTCCTGCTTTGCTTCAGTTTTTGGGGTGGGGTTTTTTTAACTAAATCAATAGACTAGATCTAAATCCAGAGACCACACTGAACAAGCTGACCAAATCACAGCTAAGTCTCCTCACCAGGAGCCCAGCTGAAGAGGAATTCAGTATCTGCTATCCTGCTATCTTTGAAACTGTATAAACCAAAAATATTCACTACTCTATTCAAATTACTTACATTTGAACTCGTATCAAACCTAACTGCATATTTATTAACAGAGATCTAGTAATTCTAAGCATAAAGCTATAAACATGTGGAAAGGAAATAAATGGAGCATGAAAGAATTTCTGAGACAAATTCCATGCAAACTATTAGGTTTTTAAGCAGTTCCTTCACTTGTCCTACAAGAACTTGCATCAGTTTTTTAGGCACATTGTAAGCCACTCTGTTCCAAACCACCGGTGGTTTGAAGGTCTTTACCCCGCACTTTCCTTTTGATGAAATGGGACAAAGGGGATCTGTTCCAGTAATTGTAGTTCAGAACATTGTCAAGACTTTCTCAGCCTGTCTTCATAAGAGAGGACTGGAGCACCTCCCTTATGAAGACAGGCTGAGAAAGTTGGGGCTGTTCAGCCTGGAGAAGAGAAGCTGCGTGGAGACCTTATAGCAGCCTTCCAGTATCTGAAGGGGGCCTATAAGGATGTTGAGGAGGGACTCTTCGTTAGGAACTGTAGTGGTAGGACAAGGGGTAATGGCTTTAAACTTAAACAGGAGAAGTTTAGATTAGAGATAAGGAAGAAGTTTTTTACTGTGAGGGTGCTGAGGCACTGGAATAGGTTGCCCAAGGAAGTTGTGAATGCTCCATCCCTGGAGGTGTTCAAGGCCAGGTTGGACAGAGCCTTGGGCGACACAGTTTAGTGTGTGGTGTCCCTGCTCATGGCAGGGAGGATGGAACTAGATGATCTTAAGGTCCCATCCAACCCTAAATATTCTATGATTCTGGGAAGACATAAAAAGTAGCAGAGTATTTCCTTTTTCTGCATAAAAAGAAGAAAAACAGATAAACAGCTGGTAACACAAGCAACAGACAGAAAAAGCTTCTCTAATAAAACCCATTACACTGAGCTGGTGTGAAAGCTGCAGTACCCCACTCCCCAAAAGCAAGGGTTCCTTTGAAGTGGTACACAAATGCTGGTGTAGCTCAAAGCAAAGCAACGACTGATGAGAGGCACGGCTGGTAATTCACACTCCTCCCTGCTGCGCACTGGAGAAGCTACAGCTGAGAAGCTAACTATGCTCCTGCCTGGTGCTCTCATCTGAATCAGAGCCTGGCCATAGGATACTTTTGTTTGAAGAAAGAAGAACACAGTTTAAGTTTATAGTATTTCTTACTGCTGAGAAACATCAACTTAGCCTAAAAGTACACTTTCATGTTTACATGCATGAGAAATAGGTTTTTCAGGGCTATTTCTGGCTTATATTGATATAACATTCATTATATTGTTTCGGCAATACTGAACATGATATCAACATATATCTTAGAGGTCTAAGTTACACATCACTGATTTTGATACAAAGCTAATGATGCTTGGCCCCATAGCAGAACCTCAGTAAAGCTGATTACAGGAGCGGATCCTGTGATAGAGTGTGTACTAGACTGAAGTAATTAATTTATTAAGAAAAGGCAGTAATGTATCAAACTCCAATCAAAATAATTGTAGTGTTATTATATGGTTTATATACAGATGTAAAGTCTCACATAGCAAGCCAGAGAACATTTAGTTTGCTGTAAAATAAGTGTGAAATATCACCAGTACTCATTTGCAGTCATGACCATTGCCTTCTTAGTAGCTGTATAATGCAGTGGAGGTGACTTACAAGAGTTGTTTTTATTAGATCAGCCCTTTGGCACTAGTAAAGTGCAAACAATTTCCCTTGTCACCTAGGCTGATAATTTTTTGATAAGTAGTTTCTTTCGGAAGAGTAGATAGCCTTTGAAGCAGCTACTGCACTTTGCTGAAAAAAAGTAAAGAATAAATAAATAAGAGCACGACATCGCTTTGCAATAATGGTTATGGAAAATCGGAAAATAAAGGGGCTGTTCTATTTAAAATAAATTCATAGTAAGACAGAGTGGTAATAGTGTAAGTTTCTTGAATCATACCAAGAACTTTTCTGTCTCATTTTTCTTTCCAAATGTTATCAAATACCAAATTCCATAAATAACACATGGATCAACAGTACTACTTTCACATAACCTCTTACCAAATCAAGGACAATATTCTCTATCGTATAAAGCAAGGTATTCACGGGCATAGTTTTCCTCTGTAACTAACAGGAATCCTGTCAAATAACCAAAACCCAGATGAGCCAACATGACGACACACTCTTTAGTAACAAAGTGGAATAGCCAGAATGATGCCTACATGCTGCAGCCCATTCCTTGCTCATTGCTGAGAGCACATAAAGGATGAGGAGACAGCCAGAACAACTCATGTGGCTGCTGATGCACCACAGGTTTATCACACCCAGACTCCAGCTTCCTAAACAGAAAGCACATTGGTACAGATGATGTTGTATATTGTCATTCTGTCATTCTAAGTTGCACGTCAGCTTTCATAAACACCACAATATTTTTTTATTTGGCAGGGTTATAACCAAAGCCTATAAAGAATTAGAGGTGTGCACCAAGAGAACACTTCCCTTCTCTGTATATTCTAAAACACATCTACCAAATTACAGACAGAAGGCAGGATGCTGCACAACAGAGTTAAAGACATTCAGAAGCCTTATTGACAGATTAGTCACCAAGCTGATCAGTCTACAATAGCTTATGTGAGGGATAGATGGCACTACAGGTTGTTTCATCTAGCAGACAGACACACCAGAAACATAAGAGCTAAAGGCTCAAGTCTACACAAGACAACCGTAGCATGCAACAAAGGAATATCTCTATTCCCCTGGAATATTACCGCTGTTATAAAACTATGGCAAATATAATTGAGTTAGAATTTAAAGTGGTAACATTTGTATTTATCACTGCAGAGACTTTAAATCAAGACTGATGCATTTCAAGGAAAGAGAAAAGTTATGTTCTAGTTCAGTCAGAAATTATTGGTCCAAATGAAGCATGAAATCTATGGCCTGCAATATATAAGATGTCAGAGCAGGTTATTAAAATGGCCCTTCCTGGCTGTAATATTTATATATCTGTGAAAAATGCAGTCATGTCATTTCCTGTATCTTCTAGCAAAAGAATAGCATTGTCAGATCTTTCAGGCAGGGGCACTAATTTAAATCAGAGAAGCCATTGGGTATTTTCTGTCATCAGCATCAAAGATCCACAAAACTGCTGGCAGATGGACAGACAGAAGTCTGATTTATAATACAGGTACACAGGAGAAACAAAGAATAAAGCATATGCATAATATTACAACTATTCACTGTGAAATAAAAGCAGCATTTATGAAGAGGGCCCATTTTCCTCTGTATTACTTAGTGTCACATTTCAGAATTTTATGAGGTGCTGGATGATTCTGCAATTCAGATAGATCTGAATAAGAATCAGAGCATATTTTGCTATATGGATCTATGTCAATATCAGTATTTTTGTGTCAGTCAAGGACTACACTCTCTTTAATTTAAAAGAAAAAACTGTGAATTCAAAGAAACTGTGATTCAAAGTTTTAAGGTCAAATCCTTCATAAGTACAAGTAGGCAATTCTCCTAGCTTGAGATCTCGTGCCTAACCTTCATGAAAGG